AAAAAAAACTGTAATATTGGAGAAATTTTCCATACAAATAAAATATATATTTTATCATAGTCACAAGAAAACATAAAATGCTTAGGTATATTGTAGAAAAGAAATCCAAATAATTTATGGAGCTTCCCACCTAAGATGGTGGAGGCTAGATCCTCACAGCTTTAGTGAGGACACAGGGTAGAATTTGAGGAAAAAGATGAGCTACTGCTGAATAGATTATCAAACTCCCTATCAACAAGATGAATCATTGTGCTACCACTCACCCTTAACAAAATCTGATGGGGTAGCATCAGTTCTCCTTACCATCTTCCTCTTACTAATACCTTACCTCATACTAATCATGAAAATACTCACTGAGAAACCCAATTCAGGGACTTTCTACACAACACCTCACCGGCCCTCTTCAAAGTGGCCAAGCTCATCAAAACGAAAAAGGTCTGGGAAACTCATAGGCAAAAATAACCCCAAAGGCAACATGAGAACGAAATGTGCTCTGGTGTCCTGGGTAGGGCTCGGGGCCAAGATGCCTGAGTAACGTGTGGGCCCAAGTTTGTGTAAGGTGAATGTGTGGCATATAGATATTCACTAATCCCACTAATCCCAGACATTCACTAGACCTGGAACTTCATAAAATAAAACTTAACTGAGGAAGCTAAAATGCTTCAGACCACAGACTGAGAGGAAAGTTAAAACTCCCTCTCTGTGCAAAGCTAGCTGGCAAAATAACATGCACAAACTGCATTTCCAGCTTTTATAGATAACCATCTGATTACTGTATTAGCAAAATAAATCATGTGTTTTCATTAAAACATATTATTAAGAGGTCATTCTAAAATGCACAGACATTTTAATTTCACTCTACAATCAAAGAAAAAGACATGAAAATATTGGGAATAACAGAGTTATGGAAACCACAAAATAGCTACCAAAAACTTGGGACATAACTGAAGAATACTAAAGTGCCAGACTTGAAAGATGGGCAATCACCCCTGTTCTTGGCTGAGAGGAGGCAATGCTATGAATGTGGCATTCCTTAGACAACTCTGGACCAACCGTGCAGGGGTGATCAAAATGGAACGTAAATGTTTGCAGTGCAGAATCCATCCAAGTTGGAGTCTGACTCCTAACAAGGGTGTCCCTACACAAAGGGGAACAACATTGGCCGTCTACCTGCATTTTCTCCCCAGAATGTGGGGCACCCTCATGCCAGGAGGACAGGGCAGTTCAACCAACCCTTCCAGCTCCTGTCCAACTGTGTGTCTGCACTCATCCCTGAAATCACGCAAGCATTCCTGTGGAATACTGGTGCATTTTGTGTGAGCTAGCTAAAGATTCAAAGATGAAGTTGATGTACATCTATACTCTACCTAGCCCACCTATACAGACTCATCTCCCAGCACCAAATTATGCCCTATGTCCAACTCGTGAATGGTACCAACTGCCATCCCAGGAGTCATTTCCAACACCTACTCATTACTGCCCACTTCCAATGAAGTAATATTTCCAGACCTATTTTCTCTAAATCAGTTCTTTCCATCCCCACAGTCATCAGTTCATCCCAGAGCCCTGGCTGGAAACCTCTTTCCCCATGCAGGCTCTGGCCATCACCACACGTCCCTCCAGTCACTGACTGAACAGTGGTTCTGGGGTAGGGGAGCTGGTGTCCACCAGCCTCTACAGAGCAATGTCTGCTTTCTCCATATTCCTACTCCACAGACAGAATGTAGTGGTTGGCCCTTTCTGGATTTTAGGAGGTATGGGTAAAGTCTTGTCAGACTTTCTTTGCTTTCTCTTCTCAGGTTTTTGCTCAGTGCGACATGGGATGGCCTTCATTTTGTTTCTCTGTAACTTTTCAAATTTCGCCAACAAATGAACTTGAGCATCGCCATGCCAGCTATGGTGAACCACACAGCACTCAATGCCTCTACAGAAGGGCCCCCCACTGACACCCAGGACAAATGGAATGACACACAAATGGAATTTATGACAGTGGTAAATTTAATGAGACTCTGGACTATTTCAAGTGGTTTTTAGCTAGACATTAATTCAAAAGAACATCTGCAACCCTATGTTTATTGCAGCAAAATTTACAATAGGTGAGCTATGGAAGCAACCCATATGCCCAAAAATAGATGACTGGATAAAGAAGATGTGGTATATTTTCGCAATGGAATATTACTCAGAAATCAAAAAGGATAAACTCATTCCTTTCACAGCAATATGGATGGAGCTGGAAGGGATTTTGCTCTGCAAGATAAGCCAGAACGAAAAAGAAAAACAACTATAATAGAGTGAAAATGAAAATCATCAGGCAATTATAGATCAGAGACATCCTGTAGGAGAGGAGGAGGGAGAAGGACCAGGACAGGGGTGGGACGAGCCCAAGGGACTATGATTATGGTACACAGGTGAATTGTGGTGGGAATTTCCTGGGAAAACCATATACTGTACAAAAATGAAGGATGATGGAATGAATATATTTTTTTAAAAAGAAAAAGAAACAAATGGTTTTTACTTAGAAATTTATTTACTGAGCACCTAGAGTGTTTCAGGAACTTTCACAGAATGTTACGTATTTGAGGAGATTATCCTTACTTAGTGTCTAAGTGTTACCAGGGGCTAAGTTAGAATAGAGGAAGCAGATTTTATCATTTAATGGACATAAATTATTCTCCTACAATGATAAAAATCACTAATACAGTTGTTAGAGATTTATGTCCATTCCTCTTTCTTTTTTCGTATCTTTCAATACCTTGCATCTGCTGCTTATTTATTTATAGGATTACCTTCTTTTTTGATTCTTATATTTATATTGGTCAAGTAACTGTGGAACCAGTAAAAGTGTGGAAGGGGATATTGCATATTTTGTGTGTGTTTGTGTATGTGTGTGTGTGAGAGAGAGAGGGAGAAGCAAGAAAGGAAAACAGATAGATTAGGTATCTTTTCTTGAAATTGTAGATAAGAGAAATTAGAGAAGATGAAGGAGAATTGTTGATCACCATCATCATTATTAATTTTGTCTCTCAAATTTTCACAAATTTTTCCTTTCTCTATCCAGAGACTGACATGAGATTTCTTTTTGTCATCCAGGCCCCTGTGTATGACTGGAATCCTGAGATCCAAGGAATCCTTCTCCGTGCACTCTATTATGGCTCTCTCTTGGCTCCAATCCCCACTGGCTATATGGCTGGAGTGTTTGGAGCCAAGTATGTGGTTGGTGCTGGCTTGTTTATTTCCTCAGTCCTGACCCTCTGCACTCCATTGGCAGCTGATGCAGGGGTGACCTCTCTCATTGTCCTTCGAGTTGTCCAAGGCATAAGCCAGGTACCAGGATGTTTTCTAACTATGATAAGAATATGGGTCCAAATTGACCTTAGACAGCTAAGAAAGGATTTTTTTTTTCAGGTTATGGTAGCTACAAGCCAGTTTTCAATTTGGGTCAAATGGGCTCCCCCACTAGAAAGGAGTCAGCTGATAACCATTGCTGTATCAGGTAATTGTCCCTAATTTTCACCTATGTGCTGTATCATCATCACACAGCTATTGAGTGAAGGAGGTGAATTTGAGGGTTGGATCCCAACCAATACCTTTATCATCCTGCAACTCTGTATGAATTGCATGTGGTTCACACAGAGTCCCAATCTGACTCTCTCACCCAGGACAACCTCACTTCTTCTGTAGGATCAGCACTGGGAACCTTCATCATCCTTGCTGTGGGAGGTTTCCTTTGCCAGATGATAGGATGGCCTTATGTCTTCTATATCTTTGGTGAGTTTGTGCTCCTCCATTTCAGAGGATGACAGAGAATCAGGGTGTGTGTTCTGTGACCCAAGTCATCTATGGTTACCACATCCTATTTATTAGATACGAGTATTTATATAAGTGAAGTTGATATCTCCCTACCTATCAAATCTTGTTGCAAGTCTTTCAAAATGACATTAAGCTTTAGCACCCTGCGTACATAGGTAGCACAGCCTGATGACTTTAGAGGCATTGTCACATTCCTTCCTGCTTTCGAATTGAACCCTAAACCCCTACATGGAGTCCCTACATAACCTTTCATGTTATTTTGATGGCTATATTTTAGTTATGCTTATTAATTTAATACATTAATTTTCTCCTACTAATCCTACAACCAGAAAATTGTGGGAATGTGACATAGGTATATGTAAAAATACTGACTGGAGTAATAAATCAACCAGGAATGACTTCTGGGCAGGGCAGACCATGTAAGGCTTTGAAATGTGCATAATACACAGAGACACACTGCAGACAGTTTTCAAAAACACATGGAGAATCCAGAGGCAACATTCTACTACCTTACAATTATGTCTTTATGTAATCTAGGCTGGGGTTGTCCAGTTGCTTTTAGCTAATTTTTGTGTTTTTTATATTTGCAACATTCTCTCAAATCCTCTATGCAACCTGCCAGATCCCACTATGTGCAGGAAGTTCACTGGTGTTCTCCTTAGTGGAAAGTCCTTTCAGGCAATAAATTTTTGTCATTATCAGTTCAACATTTTTTTCTACACAAATTGTGAAGAAGTGCTCTGGCCTGAAAATTCGTGAATATGGGCAAAATAAATTACTCATGCAATGAGAGAGGCTATTCTGCTAATGATTTTGAGAAACAGTAACATCATATTGAGACAAGAACTGACCAAATACATGCCCACCTATGTTGACACCTCCATCTTCACATTAAATACAGTGGGATGTATTTTGTGTATCCATTCCCACTTATTTTGAAGTTACTTGTTGATAAAACTCTTTGTATTTTTATATTCTCAATATCTAGCAAAATGCCTGATGAATATTGACTGCACTCTGTGAATGAATGCATAAAGTATAAGCTGTTAATTGAAGAGCGCTCATAAGACTCTAAGACTTTTAAAAGGAAATTTAAAATGATCATATTTGCAGTCACTATGAATATTGCCCAGTTGTTCAATACTGAAATAATTTATCTATTAGAGTAAATCTCTTTGAGGAGAGATGAGGGTGTCACACTCCCAGACTTCAAACTATACCACAAAGTCATAATAATTAAATCAGTATGATACTGGAACAAAAACAGACACACAGACTATGGAATTGAATTGAAAGACCAGAAATAAAGCCACACATAGATGGACAAGTAGTCTTTGAAAAAGGAGTAAATAATAGGCAATGGAACAAGGAAAGATGTTTCAATAAATAGTGCTAGGAAAACATAAGCAAAAGAATGAAACTAGACCACTATCTCACACCATGCACAAAAATCAATTCAAAATGGATAAAAGAATTGAACATAAGACCTGAAATCATAAAATATGTAGAAGAAAATGTATGTATAACACTACATGACATATATCTCCATAACATCTTTGAAAAATCATCAACCAAAGCAAAGAAAGTGAAGGAAAAGATAAACAGCTGGGATTACATCAAGCTAAAAAACTTCTGTACATCAAAAGAGACACTACCATAACACAGAGTCACTCTACAGATTGGGGGAAAAATTTTTTGCACTCTATAAAACTGATAAGGACTGATCACAAAGATATGCCAAAAACTAACAGTCAACAAAATCATAGTGATCAATCCAGTCATAAAATGGGTAGAAGACTAAAGATACTTCTTCCAAAGTGGAAATGCAAATGGTCAACAGGCATATTAAAACATGTTCAATGCCCCTCATTATCAGGGAAATGGAAATCAGAATCACAGTGAGATACCACCTTATACCAGTGAAAATGGCACATATTAAAAAGACTAGCAACAACAAATGTTGGCGAGGGTGTTAAAAAGAAGCTCTCCCACACTGCTGGTCAGAATGCACACTGGTCCAACCACAATGGATAGCTGTGTGGAGGTTCCTCAGACTACTAAAAGTGGAACTACCATATGACCCAGCACTTCACTCCTGGGATCGACCAGATACCATAAAAACACCAACTCAAAAGGATACATGCACCCTGTGTTTATTGCAGCGCTATTATAATAGGCAAGATTTAGAATCAACCCAAATACCCCAAAATAGATGGACAGAGAAAGAAGATGTAGTGTATATACACAACTGAATACTATTCAGCAATCGAAAATAGATAAACTCATGCCATTCACAGCAGCATGGATGGAGAGAGAAGGGATTATGCTCAGTGAAATATACCAGAAGGAAAAAGAAAAATATTGAATGGTTTCACTTATAGAAGTAATATAGGGGAAACAAATAAGGGATCAAGGGAAAAATAATAATAAAAATACAGCACAACAACAACAAAAAAATGACAGTCAGAGACATTCTGCAGGGGAGGGGTGGCGAAAGACATCAAAAAATGGGTGGAAGAGCACAAGACTATGGTGCTGATGCGTAGATGAATGAGTGGTAAAAATTCTACGGGGACTATACCTGAGAAGAGAAAACAAATGTACAAAAATGAACAATGATGTAAAAATAAATAACTTATTTTTTATAAAAGAGTAAATCTCTTTGAGGGTTAATTCATTTCAATGCTAGATATTGTCAGGGTAATCAACTGCTCACCTACACTGCTACTGAGTTTTGTGTGCTAGAGACAGATACAGAAAGATAATTGAAACATGTCATATTGTCATCAGCAGGATAAATCCTATCTGGTACTTCAAAAGTGAGGCTTGTCACTTATGGTGCATACACACTAATAACCTTTAATAATGAGCTATAGCCTTACAATGGTGCATTCAGAACCTCCAAAAAAACAAGACTCGGAGGTTTAAAACATCGGTCATTTTTTTTCTTGTCTGTGGGAGAGCAAGCAGCTGTATGATCTGTGGCTCATCTCTGTCTTGGACAGTGGCAAGCTGGGGCACATTCTTCATTGCCAATGCCTGCGACCCAAAAGAGAAGTGGGAAAACAGTGCTTTTTAGGATATGCTCTGAAATATCCCCATGCCATTGGCAAAATATCATTACATGGCTAAGGCCAAATGCAGGTGGTGGAGATGTACCATCCCCCTTTGGGAGAGTTGGACAAGGGTATAGACACAGGGACAATTAATATACAGGCTTAGGGCTCTGTCAACCAGGGCTTTCAACCCAGAGTAGAGCAAGTTGAAAGAAGTCCATCCAGTGCTAACTGCACCCTCTTCTCCCAGGTGGAACAGGCTGTGCCTGTTCTTTTCTCTGGTTGCTTCTTGTCTATGAGGACCCTGTGAATCACCCATTTATCAGCACTGAGGAGAAGGAATACATCAGGGATTCGCTGGCTCAACAGGTACATTGTTTGTCTAAGTGTGTTGGAGGTGAGAGGTGAGGTAGAGCAAAGCTTTTGAATTATGAGAGTGGACACTGTTATGTGCTTTGTTCCAGGCTCCCTCCCCAGGCTTCTGTCCCCATTAAGGCTATGGTCAAATCCCTGCCACTGTGGGTCATTTTAGTCTCTTCTTTCTGTATTTACTGGCGTTATTATATCATCATGTCATATGCACCAACGTACATGAACTCTGTACTTCAAGCTAACCTCTGAGATGTAAGTATAGAGAAAATCCTTTCTGTTCTTTGTTTAATGCTTCTTTACAGAACTCTCTCTTTCCCTGAAGGTCACTGTGTCAGGGTATTAGATTCTTGACCTTAAGTTCCTACTTGAAGTTCAACCTGGTTCACTTGAGTACTGATTCATTGAGAACGTGACCTACTGCTTACAGGGGCTGAGGGATATTGGTCCAGGTCATCCTCATATTCACTGAATGCATATTAATTGTGCTCAGTCCAGTCAACCTTTGTCCGCATGATATTGCTGGCAGCTCAAGAAAAAAAAAAAGCATTAAACAGTAAATTTTGCTTTCAGAAGTGCTATGACCAAAGAACATAAACAATATATGCTGAAAGTAAGATTTCAGATTTGATTGATTGGCCATTTGCTTATATAACTATAAATATGCAGCAACAGTGTGCTTGTCTACCCGCTCCCACCACTTGCCCACCCATGCCCACCCACTCGCACCAAAGCTGCTGTGCCAGTAACCATGACATGCCACCACTAGCCCCCTCTGCCTGCCAGCCCCTCCGGAGTTGCTATTATTAAACATAGTCTAAGAATTCTTTATGCTGTGCTCTACCAGTCTGATTCCACTGGTCACTCAGCATTATTGATGGGGCATAAAGGTCCAGATAGAACTTATATGAAAGACTGGTAGATAATGCTTAAAAATAAGAATATTTTATTCAGTGTAACACATGACAAGAAAGGCGCGCATTTGTGTATAGCTCTCAGATTTTACAGAAAATGAGCAGATGCTCTGAATGACTAACAGAGCTTTTCATTCCCTGCTGACTGGGGAGGAGGGCATATCCCACTGAAAGGGGAAGTCACATGATCATTGGATTACTGCTCTACTCCCCCTTTGGTCTCTAAAGCTGTGTCCCCAGGGTGACTGGGCTCCCTGATGAAACACGGGAATAGGGTAACAGAGAGCTGCCTCTTAGCAGAAGTCAGGTCAGATCAGAGCCTGTGGATCGTGCATGCAAGGAGCCTGGGTGCTGAGATCAGAAGTCCTGGGACACAGAGGCAGTGGGGGTCTCCCTAAAGGTGGAGGAAGACCCGAGCAGCAGAAAACCAGGACACGGGCCACAAGATGACGAGAGAACCAGGACATCTGAGCTGAGCGAGGCGTCCTGAGGCTGCAGCTGGGAATAGTTTGTGTCTGGAGTGAGGCCACATGGCTTTCACCCCCAGATGCCAAGGCTGAGCAGGGCAGGATGGGGAGTGGTGGGGGGGTCAAGGGCCTGGCCTCAGAGCTCTCAGGGTGATTTCCCACTAAGTCACGTGACCTTCATGGTCTCCCTTTACTCAGGCATAAAAGGAACAGCTTGGACCAGGTGAGAGTGAACTATTCACAACTGATGTTCTCCTTTCCCTTTAGTACATTTTAATTTAAAGGCTGTATTGATAAACCAGGGCTCAACAATTTATACATTAAAAATATTTAAAAATTTTTAAAAAGATTGAAAAACCATGCTTTCATTCCGGTCTTCAAATGTCTCAGTTTTCCCAGCTCACTCCTCAGATAAGATTTTACAGATTTCTCATAATATATTCCATTGTTTCTAAGAAGTCAAGCTTACACAAATGAGAAATATTTTTCAAATTATAATAAGTTAAATATTTGTATATTGCCTATGCTGATTTTTTTTTTATTTTACAAAAGTTTATTTTTACATCATTTTGTACATTTTTTTTTCCATCTCAATTGTAATCCCCGTGGGTTTCCCATCACCAAGTCACCCGTGTGCCATCACCATAATCCCGTGCATTTCCCTCCTCACCCCCGCGTTTTTGATCCCATTCCCCACTCCACCCCCGCAAAATGTCTCTGGTATATGGTTGTTCATTATTCTTGTTATTTTCTCACCCTGCCCATTATACTCCTGCTATGAGAGAAACCATCTGGTTTTTTTCTTTCTCTTTCTGGCTTATCTCACTAAGCATGATCTTTTCCAGCTCCATCCAAGTTGCTGCAAAAGACATGTGTTTCTCTTTTTTGGTTGCTGAGTAATATTCCATTGTATATATGTACCACATCTTTTTTATTCAGTCATCTACTTTTGGGCATTTGGGCTGCTTCCATGATTTTCCAATTGTAAATAAAGCATATGCTGCTGATTTTTATAGTCTGTGCCAGGCTTCACATATCAAAACAGGAGGTCCTGATGGATGACATCTGAGTTGAACCCCTTGATTGAGCAATTGAACCTCATGATTGAGAGCAAACCTTGTTCCCTTGTCATGTATTTGTGTGGCAATTTCTGTAAATTTTTGTATATTTGGTTCAAGGAAAGGTTTTATATATACTTATACATACTTACGCTCACTGTCCAATTGCTTTCTATAATGCACTCACAATATTTTCAAGAATCTGATTCCCCACCATTGTAAGGATTATGCTATAGACTTTGGAATTTTGCCAATTTGATACCTACAATATGGTATTTCACTAGATTTATTATTATTCTGAAGTTGGTTTTTTTTTTTTTAAAAGTGTTTATCTCTATACCAAACAAATTCCTGGAAAGAACCCAAAGCTTTGTTTACCTTTTCTATGATTTGTTCCTATTCTTGCCTCTTTTTCTCTTTTTGTCCTAGCAGATTTTGTTTTCTGTAATATGTATTTTCAGGTGATCACAAGCTATGAAGACAGCATTAGTTCTATATTATTGTTAAAAGAACCATATGCATAGTAATAAATGTATGCTTTATTCAGTTTAGTTTTCTTTTCGAGCATTAAAATTATATTAGCTCATACCAATAACATGGACTCTATATTAAAGTAAATCACCTATAAAGAATAATCATAGCTATAGATAATCCCCACAGCTCAGTCTGTGTTACTGTGGCACTGTGGGGGTGATGACATGCCCCTCATTATCTCTTCCCCCAGAGTGGGATCCTGTCAGCCCTGCCATTTGTTTTTTCCTTTCCTTCCCTTATCCTTGGAGGTCAGCTGGCTGGTTTTCTCCTCTCCAGAAAAATCCTTAGACTCATCACAATCAGGAAACTCTTTACTGCCATAGGTAAGAACCAAAGCACAGAGGGTGGGTGTGGGAAGTGCAGGGAGCTGCCTGTTCATTGTGTTTGTCTCCTCCCAGGGGTTCTTATCCCAAATGGACTCCTCTTGTGCCTGCCCTGGGTCACATCCAGCCTGAGCACCACCATTGCCTTATTGGTGCTGAGCTGTGTCTTCGGCAGTCTCTGTGAAGTAGGAGTCCTTATCAGCATCGTAGATATTGTTCCTCGGTAGGGACTCTTGCTTTGTCCTCCTAGAAACTCAGGTCAGGTCCAGCACCCTGAACCTGCTGTAATACACGATCAGATATGAGTGACCTGCAACAGGTCACAGGAAATATGAACACCTGTTCTGTGTCCAACTAAATTCTCTGAAGACCCAAAGCTGGTCAATGCTTTTTTGAAAGATTTATTCTATTTATTTATGCATATAACAACTGGGGTGTAGGCCAGAAATGAAGGGGGTTGATTAAGAGGATTCACCAGAGTGAGGAGAAGAACAGGCAGATCTACTGAAGTACACTTCTGAGGGGAAGAGTGAGTGAGATAGGAGGGGTCAGCTGTACCATTTGGGTCAGCTCACTGGCTGGGAGCACAGTGACCGGTGATAGCTTGATAGAACTGAGACTTTAACTGCTGTGCCCTTTCTCTCTCTCTCAGATACAGTGCCTTCCTCAAGGGACTATTGCAATTATTTTCTTTCCTAGCTGGGGCCATCTCTCCCACCGTTTGTGGATATTTCATCAATCAGGTGAGGAAAATGTTCTCACGAAAATATTCAGAAACCTAATCTGTATTGTCCTCAAGTAGAAGTCAGACTAAGGGACTTTTCATTCCCTCCTCAATTTGGCTGAGTATGAACTCGAAAGTCCCAAGTGCCCCTCATGTTTCCCCACTCACCCCACACTCAGGTCCTGAAGGGAAATTGTCATTGACTTGAGTGTGGGGTGAAGGAGAATGCTCAATCTTACAGGCTTTTATCAATACTACTTGAATTTTTAGAAGACGCAGCCCTCATGCTCCTCAGCAAGTTTTCTCGTAAAATTCTTGGTGTGTCTTGGGGTGACAAAAGAAATTTCTTTTAAACAGTTGCAGTTCATCTTTGGAGACTTTCATTTCTTCGCTGAGGCTAGGAAGAAATATAGAGTGACCTTTTGAGAAGGCTCAAGAATTTTAGAACAAAAACACAAATCATTCGGGCCCTCCCTGGTGGCGCAGCGGGTTAAAGCACTGCACTAAAAAGCTTAAGCCACTTCCACATGAGTTCGATTCTCGCCTGCCCCGGAGATGACCACATGGCGGGGCAGACTTCTCCTGACCTGCCCGCTGCTCCCCTCAGCAGTGTACTTCGTCGATCTGCCTGTTCTGCTCCCCGCTCTGTCTCTGGTGAATCCTCTCACCCTCCACATCTCTGGCCTGTACCCCAGTTCTGTATGAATAAAAAAAACACACACACACAAATCATTCACATGTTGCGGCAGCGTAGTGCTAGTGGGAATCTAAAATCATCTAGACTATATTAATTATTTGTGAAAAGTAAGTTGGATCTAGAGACACTTGTGGCGTTACTGTCCATGTGAGTTGATAGTATGATGTCCATTACAAAGAATAGCCTAAAGATATTGATTATCAGGGCACATTGGAAGGCTCAAAAATATGCTGCTCTAATCTATGACTGAACACTGAGAGATTTTTACTGGAATTAAAGAAAACCATGTGGAGATTGGTTACTACCGGGTGCTTGAGAATAACTAGGACACTTACAGCTCTCAGACCTTGTTCAAACCACGGTCCTCTCCTGTTGGGCTTTTGAATAGGTCAGATGAGCGTGTTGCATGGGCTGTGCAAGCTATGACCAGGGCAGTTTCTATGGGTGGCTGAATTTTAGGCTGATAATTTTGTTGATTTCATGCCCCAATGGTAAGTGTTTAAGTTCAACAGGGGTTTCTTGGTGACTGTGGTGATCTTGACAAGCTCTGCACGGTGCATTTTACCTGTATCTATGCAAGATGTGGCCCGTAGGTCCTCTGACCTTTGCAGATTCGTGTAGGTTGTCTCTTTATCTATTATGATCTTCATATGCTATATAGAAAGTGGGTCATGCTTTAATTCTAATTGCATCTCCCCTTTGTGATTAGAAGATAAGAGGGGCCCTCCCTGGTTGTTCAAGGGGTTAGAACGCAGCACTGCAAGCTGGCCACAGATGCTTCAGTGTAAGTTCAATCCCCAGCCCCAGAGGTGACCCACACGGTGTGATAGACCTCTCCTGACCCACCTGCTGCTCCCCTCAGCAGTGTACTTTGTCAGTCTGCCTGTTCTGCTCCCCATTCTGTTTCTGGTGAATGCTCTCACTGCCTTGCACCTCTGGCTTGTAGCCCAGTTCTGTATGCATAAATAAGTAAATCTTTAAAAAAAAAAAAAAGACATTCCTTTGATAAGTCTCTTCCTCTTAAAGAAACAGAAGAGCTACCTACTAAGAAAATGTGTACCCTTCTTCATTTGAAGCTAAATTCTTAAAGAGTAGAACGTTACCACCACCAGTTGTACTGTTTCCTTTCTGTGAGGAAAGGAAGCTGAGAAATAGTGTGCAAGACAATAGATCAAAGCCCTGATGGAATCCCTTGAATTTTCCTTTGGGCTTCCCCCAATGAAAATGACTGTAGAAGAGAAAAGATTCCCTTTAGTTCTTTAGATCAGCCCTAAGCTTTATCAAGTTCAGACATAAAGCTGAGTCAGAAACTTCCTCCACTTCTCAGTGTAATTCTGGCAATTATTTATTGAGGTGTCCTTTTTTTTCAAGACTAGCATAAATCTGGCCTTTCTGTTTTTGTTTATTTTATTGGGGTGACACTGCTTTGCAGTATTGTTTATGAATTAAAGATACAGGATCTCTCTTCAGATGTGCGATCATGCCACATGCTCCACTCAAACACCCGCTACCATCATACAATGTAATTCTGATTTTTTGTTTATAGTTCTGGATTTTTTTATGGACACAATATTGGTTGACAGTGTTGTTTCTGTTTAGAGATCTTCCCTGATGTGACTTTTTAAAAAGATTTATTTCTGCATACAGAACTTGGGGTACTGGGCAGAGGTACAGGGATGGTGTGAGGACTCCCCAGAGACAGAGTAGGGGGCAGAACAGGCAGATTGTCGAAGTACACTGCTGAGGGGAGCAACGGGTGAGACATGGCGATGTCTGCTGCACCATGTGGGTCAGCTACTTGGCCATGGATTGAACTGGCACTGAGGTGGCTGCGGCTAGCTTGCTGCAACCCAATGTGCCACCAGGGAGGGCACCCTGATGTGACTTTTTTTAAAAGATTTATTTATTTATTCATACAGAGCTGGGGTACATGCCAGAGATGCGGAGGGTGAGAGGATTCACCAGAGACAGAGCAGGGAGCAGAACAGGCTGACTGAGTACACTGCTGAGGGAGCAGCGGGCGGGTCAGGAGAGGTCTGCCGCGCCATGTGGTCACCCCAGGGCAGGCGGGGATCGAACTCATGCGGAAGTGGCTTAAGCTTCCCTGTGCTTTAACCCGCTGCGCCACCAGGGAGAGCCCTGATGTGACTTTTTTAACCAGAAAGTTCTGTCTCTTGTTTAGAAATCTCTGGCCTTGACACCTCTGGCCACTAGGTGGCGGGTTGTCTGATATTCGGTTTAAAATAGCAAGTTCATAATTTTGGTGACTCTGCATCTATCCGCCCATCTGTGCGTCCGACTGTCCGTCCGTCCGTCCATCCACCTACCGACCATTTCTTATATGCTTTTAAACGTCTGATAGTATGGGATTTCCCCCGCAGGTGTGGTATGGCAGCTTTCCCACCACCAAAGTTCACACCAAAGCATGAAGTCCACCATGCCGTCCACACTTGTCCATCCGTTCCCTTCCCATCCCTCCTCTCCCCTGCTGTTGCCACACATCTACAGTCAGGTGTTTGTTTTAAGGTGGCCTTTGTCTTCACTTGTTTTTTCTATATTCCACATACAAGTGAAACCCGCCAATACTTAGCTTTCTCCTTCTGGCTTATGCTGTTCTGCGTTATCTTTTCCAGTACCTTCCCTGATGCCACAAATGAAGATATGCATTCGCATATCTTTTTAATCATGGAGTTGTATCATTGTGTGTGCATACCACATCTTCTTGGCCCTTTTATCTGTCTTGGGGGGTCATTTAGGTATTTTAATATCTTGGCTATTGTACATCAGGCTGAAATAAGCAAAATTTCTGTACAGCAGAAGAGTAACAACCAAAACAAAGAGACATTTGACTAAATGGGAGAAAATATTTGCATACATTACATGTGACGAGGGGCTGGTATCCAAGATCCACAAAGAACACACAATTCAACAACATCAGCAAAACAACCCAGTTAAAAAATGGACACAACAGCTACATGGACATTTCTTTAATGAGACACACAAGTGGCAAAAGGCATATGAAAAAGTGTTCAGGGAAATGCAAATCAAAACCACGAAGAGATACCACCTCACACCTATGAGAATAGACCATTAAAACCAAACAAAACACATACACAAAAAGAAACAAAAACTAACAACAACAACAAAAAAAAAAACCCAGAAGCACTGCGTAAGTGCTGACTGAAGTGTGGAGAAAAAGGAGCCCTCTTACACTGCTGGTGGGAATGTAAACTGTAGCCTCTTCATTTTATTAAGGTGACATTGGTTTGCAACATTCTTCATGAATTGAAAATACAGGAAAATCAGTGTGGAGGTTTTGATGGAGTAGAAATAGTACAGCCATAACACCCAGCAATTCCACTCCTAGGAATCTACCCAAAGAATATGAACTGTTCACTTTAGCTTATACTGGTAAAGTGCCACAAATCCATTGCAATTCGCCTGAATTTCTGCTTTCCAAGGACATAGCACTTTTATTTGAAACCTTAAAATTTCCAGGATCGACAAAGGCTAGCCCTATCTGTGAAAGAATTATCCAACAAAACCTGATATTAACAAAATCAGTGAACTACTGAGTGAAGGATAAAAAACGACACAACCTGCACTCACACCATCATCTCCATCAATGGTTATGTAGACACTGCATTCACCATTATTAGCATGGTGTTCTGCATTTCTGCAGTCTCCCATATGAGGAGGTGTTTTAAGGTTTTCAGAATATGCAGTGACAGCGTTTTTCCTTAGAATCTTAGTGATAATAGCCTTTATGTGAAGGCAGATATGTATGGTATTCAGGTGACAATTTTTCTGTATTTTCCTGAATTTTTTTACCAATAAGTCATGGATATGGTGAAGAATAGAGAGAAATATATTCCTCGTTTTTCTGAGGAATCAAGTCCTTGCCTTTGCTTTTTCCTGGGGGTTATGGGTATACTATCTGAACTGAAAAAGAAGACTTTGCTCAGAATTTAAATGTTCTATTATTGAGAGCAGCCTTTTGTAAAGCCAAAATCCCCTTCTTGTCACTGATGGACACAAGTAGAAATGGAAATTTTCAAACTGACATTGTTCCCCTGTTTTTTACTTATTCATTCATATATTAACTCATTCATCTATTCAAAAACTATTTGTTGAACATTAGCATGTGCTGTCTATGGTTTAAGTGAGTAAAATCAGCAAACACCCTACCTACCCTTGGGAAGCTCATGTTTTAGAGAAGTAGCCAGTCGAAAGTGAAGGAGTGAGTGAACTACAGAGTGCATTGAATGCTAAAGAGAGTGCTCAGAATGGAGGAACACGGGAGTGGAGCGAGCCCAGAGCAGGGGTGAATTTCATTGAAATGACAGTGAAAAGGAGCATTTAAGCAAGAGAACAAGCAGGGAGTCCATGGAATAGCTATTTGGAGAGGAATATTCCAGCAGAGGGGAAGGCCAGTGCACGGAAACACTCCTGCAAAATCCTGGAGGAGCAGGGTCCATGGGGTGGAGCGAGCTGGAAGTGGGAACAGGACAGGACACCAAGCCTTTCTCAACCAAAAGGGAAAGACTAGGCCCTACTAACCTGTACTTCCTCACCCCCAGGACCCAGAGTTTGGTTGGAGAAATGTCTTCTTCATTGCAGCTGCTGTTGACATAGCAGGCCTGGTCATCTACCTCATCCTGGGAGGAGCCGAAGTCCAAGACTGGGCATCCGGTCAACATTCCCCCACGTCTCAGCAAGCCTAGGGACGCCTCATATCCTGTGGCTAGTCGTGCATTACCTGCCCTCATGGACCTTCCCCTTTGGGGCCTGCGTGAGGGGCTAGCACCCACTGAACTGACTTGCTGCCAGTATCTGGCCAGGGAATCTGGCTGTGTAACACGGGAGTCCTGTCTGGTTCTTTATAGGGGAGGGATGGAGAAGGCTAGTTATTCAATTCTGTGTGCCTGAAATCGTAGGTGTGTCTGAATTTCCATGCCTTATGTAACAGCAGGCATGGGTGAACCAAGAGTATAGGCATAGTGAAATAGTAAGAAAAGGAAACATTGTAAGATTTCACTCATATGCGAAATGTGTACATTTAGAAACCAAAAATACAAAAAAAAAGCATTAAATGAAACAAAATCTTTTCTAGACCACCTAACGTAGTAACCAGAAATTAAGTGGACATATGGTAAAAGATGGAATTAGACTTTTAATGGGGATATGCAGTCTATACTGTTGATGATTTACATAGATGTACCCCTGAATGCTATATAATATTATAAGCCTATGTCATGTCAATTGCATTAAAATAATAAGAGCCAGAAACATGCTTTTTGTTGCAGAAAATAGTCTGTGTGTAATTTATCTTCTTCAGAGAGATCGGGCGGGCTCTCATGTTCGAATGCTGCACTGAATTACATATCAGAATGAGTATTTTCAATGTTCTAACTGGGAATGTATATTTGTTACTTAAATCAAACTCATGAATTTTTGTTACCAGAAAGTGCTTTGCAGTGGAGGTAGGGAGGAAATCATAATTTCATCTTTTCTTCCATGAATTGATTCAAAGGCATGTGTAGGCTCTTCCCATCCTCTTTCATCCTCTGAGCAGTTGTGTTCAGTGTCCTCAGGGAGAGGCTGGAACAAGGTCAAGGTGAGCTGCTCCACAGCTCATGTGGATTAAGGCCCCCAGAGTTCCCTGGGGATAAGTGGAGTAAGGTACCTATGTTAATTACCTGGTACTGATAGTTGCTTTGTAGTCATGTAGAATGACCTTGTCATTACAAAAGTGTTTTCCAGAGGAGCAGCTTTTAGAGCATCATGCCAGAAGCTCACCCTCATGGTTAAGCAAAAGTTCTTTGTACCTGTTGTGCAATTATTCTGTATTTGAGGTATTTAGAAATTAACCAGAGTAGGAGAAAAACTATAATGGAATTTTCATAACGCTCTTTAAATCATGTTCATTCAACTCATGGATGTTGATTTTAATATTAACAGGTGTTTGGTAAACATGTGATATGATACCCAGCAGGACAATGAAATCCAGAGCCATGTATCTGAAAGATGGTGGACAAGCTCCAACTCCTGTTTGTGTTCCAAGCACAACACTATTAGTCACACAGGGAAGCCATGTCTGTGAGATATTTTTATCAGACAAAACTGTGCAGCTCACACAGTGGCATTTCCTGCTTTAACCTGATGCTAAGAAATTTAAAACTAAGCATAATGCTCCTTGTAATATTTCTTCTTTGTTTTTTATTTCAGGAATGAAATCTGTTTTCAGTATTAAAAATTAAATATTTCCATGACTCATAAAGGAGTAAAAGATGCAATTATCTCAATAGAAGCTACAAATGCATTTCAAAATTCTATCTATATTTGTGTTTTGATTTTTCACACTCAGAAGAACAGAAAGTTTGTTAAGATAACAAATACATCTATTTAAAATAAGAACCAACTTCAGTACTTAATGGGAAAATGAGTAATATCAGGAGGATAACAGGAAGTATTAACCCATATTCAAGTTTGTTCTGGAAATTCTGTTATGAGCCGTGATTAAAGACATGGCCACGATGGGATGTGGGGATGGTGATGCAGTTCAAAATATCAAAACAGAGGAAACAAATATTTTTTCTTAATTTCAGGTGATTTTATTATCGACTTGAGAAACCAATAGATAAAAATTTCCAACATAGTAGCTTAGCTATAGTTCTGTTCAGTTAAAAAAAAAAAATCGCTACTATATCCTAAGCCAAGCAGTTCAGGAGCAAACTGGAGCAAACAACAGAGAACCACTGTGTATTAGTCTTGTAAGACCATTACTCCTGAAGAAAGAGGAAACACTGGATGCCACTTTTTGTGGAAAATTCAAGAACCTCCTAAAAATACCTGTAATTAAATTCACAAAGATCATCTCAGTCAACTAAAAATATTAAGACACCACTTTGTGGAGAATATCACTCTATGAACAGGAGGATGATGGAAAAAGTTCTGAAAAGGACAAAATATACTACATCAAAAAAGGAATAGAATAAGAGAAACCAGGAGGTGAGAATGAGGAATTGAAGAACTAGAGAATATCAGAAATTACAGTGATGCTGAATGAAAATGATCTTAATGTAAGTGAACTCTCTAGGTTTGTAGAATGAAGATTTTATGTGCATGGTATTTTTTCAATTAAACAAAAGTTAAAATTAAACCACGAATCAGATAAACTTCTCACATCTGGTAATGTAATAGCTAAAGCTTGTAGATAATCATTTACCTTTTGGGAGTGAACGAACTTTGTAAAGATTAGAGGATGATTCCAGAGATTCTGTGAAGCAAATGAAGAACTTGTAATCCACCTTAAGGTAGGTCTTCAATTTATTGCCCTTAATGTTATGCTTTGGAGATGATTGACGGGCCCCCTTCCTAGAGAAAAAGAAAAAGGTGTCATTTTTACTGTCTTGGGGTAGAGACTGTTGGGTTGGCAAGAGGATTTCTTTATCCTGAGATAACTCTGAAAAGCAAGAAAAAAGTCACATTTTCTAAAATAAACAATCCCAGAAAACTAGGGATAAAAATCATCTGATAGCTGCAGAAAGTGAATATAAATTATCTTAAGTCTGAAGGTGAAACAGTATTGTAGGTATGTTGGAAATGGGTTAAATTTCCTGCTGCACAATATCTGTAAGTCCCATGTTTTTTGATTGTGGTTCAAAAAAAAAGCACTAATCACATCTATGCTGAAAAATGAATCAAAATGTTCAATATTGGCAGAAAAAAATAATCACCAGCATTTTAAGAAAAACATTAAAACAGACTAGATTCTTACAGTGAAGTTTGGTTTGGGAGGAAGTAAAGCACAGTGAAATCCCATATATTTGGAAAGTGATAAAACTGTGAAGATTTGGGGTGCAAAGCACTCTTTTTGAACTAGATTAAGAGTTAACTATTCCTCTGGAGGAAATACTCAGGGCAGAGACTAAGTAGAGAGAAACAGCCCTGGAGTGCTCTGCCTGACACCTCACAGATATTCCCATTCGGCAGTGAGCTTGTGCATAGCAGAAGAACCACAGACATGTGAGTCCAAATGAAACAGACTCAGAGTCAGTCTCGGCCAGGGACTCTGAGTAAACGGATCTGAGAAAGGTTTAATGGCTTTGCCAGTTCCTCCTCATTCCCTTCATGTCTAAATCTAGGGATAAGGGTGATGCCTTTCAAGTTACAGTTCTACCAAGCCATAAATGGGTAGACACAATATCTACTTGGCAATGTCCCCTCTGGTGAGACTGCAGGTAATTCAACCCCAGGTGATCTCTTCTTTAGCTCCTGGAAAGCTGTTCTCCCACTCACACTCCCTTCACCATTGAACACAATGCCACTGACTCATTTGCTCAGTCACACATGAGTTACATGTCTCAGTTGTCTCCTCCTTGCCCTCTCCTGTATCCATCTCACTGTAATTACTGTGAATCAGTCTTCAAACAAGTTAACACCTGGGGCTCTTTCACCATGAGCATTTTACAAGGTCCCTACCAAATCTTGCACAGGGACTACCAGGTACCACTATTCATTTTTTTGGTCCAGATTACTTAGGTGATCCAGTCTTTTGAGTTCCCAGGTGAGTTTCAGTATTGTTTGGTGTATTTCTTTGAATAAAGCCTTTGAAACCTTTGAAAGGGATTGCAGGGAATCTGGGTATTGCTTTGTGAGGATGCCCATTCTACAAATGACTACCTCCCATGAACAGGGAATCTCTCTCCATTCTTTGTGTCTTCTCATTTATTTAAATGGTGCCTTTTAGTTTTCATTGTACAAGTTTTTCAACTCCTTTTTCAGTTTAATACCAGAAATTTGTTTTTATGTGACTATAGATGGGATTGTTTCTTATGTCTTTCTTTTCTACCTTGTTTCTATACAAAGACACAAGCGATTTTTGTAAACTGATTTTGGGAACTGGCCAAAGGTGACTGTAGCTGGTGCTTGTGGAGGTAGAGCGTGAAACATGGAGGGTTCCCCTAGAACTGTAGAGGAGGACTATAGGGGAGCCTTGGTGACGGGGTGATGCAGTGACGTACTCTGAAAGAGCATGCAAATGAGGAACAGTTACCTCAATTAAAGATATAATCACAACCCACAAAGCAACGTCTTCTTCTCTGATATTATGCCTTAATCAATTTCCCTACTTCTATTAATGACCTTTTAATGAAAATTAAGTTTTGTGTATTTCTATTCTGCAATATTTTCCCATTATGTCTTTTTCTGATTTAATGAAATTTTCTGGCTTGAGAACCACTGTGATTCCTGAATCTGAGAGAGTTTATTTTTCATCTGTTCTGGAAAAGTCATATTTACTTTTGTTTTGTCCCAATTTCTGTGACTGGCCGCAAGGAAGAAAGACAGGAAGCAGAAAGGCTGAGCAAGTAGAGTTTATTGCTCCTGGACAGCAGCTGAGACGGAGCTCCCTAGGGTGGGGTCCACAGCTACTGCCAGTGCTATAAGGGAAAAGGGTCTCTTATATAGATTCTAGGTTCAGATTCTAAAGGGGTGACTCATTGCTGTGGCCCCGGATGCAAGGCCCAGTTCGTTATCACCCTTATCTGGTCACACAGGTAGCTACTGATAGGTGTTACTGCCCCTAGCTGGTCACACTCAACAACTTAAAGTATCAGCTTTCCTCTATTTTCTTTATCTTATTCTTCTCAGAAGTCTTATTCAACATGTTAGATCTTTTCACTAAAATAATCCAAGTCTCTTAACTTTACTTTTAATTCTC